GTTCCCGGACCCCCCGCCACCGCTGCCCCAGCCCGGGGCGCGGTCGGCGCCGGCCCACCCGGGCTCGGTGCTGCTGCGTGCCTTGCCGCCGCCGCTGCCGCTTCCTTTTTCGCTGTTTTTGGTGTTGTTGGCTGCCGCCGCCGCCGCTGCTGCTGATGATGATGACAGCTGCCCGCTTGGTCGCCTTCTTACCAGCGCGGGGTTGGCGTGAGTGTTGGCGATGTCTTTGTTGTAGTAATTTCTGGCGGGGGATTGCGTGAGGTTGGAGGGAGGGGGGGCGGGGATGTACGATATTTAGTACCCTCGAATTACGTATGTGGAGTTAATGAGGCTGGCTTTCCGGTGGCTCGGATACGTGAGAGGGGGGCGGGGGGCGGGGGCAAGGGATTTTGTACTTCCAATTATTTCAAAATAGTGTTATTGTGGCTGACTTTGGGATGGCTCGGATGCTTCTCTCGCTCTCGCCCTGACCTCCCTTTCGTTTTCGCCGTGGATGGCAAACAAGCACGATGACATCAGCCATTTCCCACGCACGCAATGGACAATAACTGAGTGGTGGTTGCCCGCGTTAGGCCACCCCGTATCCGAACTTCCGATTTCGCGTCGCCGCTGCTGTTCCTGCGGAGGACAACCAACCGTGTCCGTGTCAATTGGACGGTTGTCTGGCCATGAGTGGGCGACATCTCCACACCGGCTAGCGTCGTCGCGAACGATCCCCCCCAAAAAAAAACAAAATGGCAGACTCACGAAACAAGAAAATAAAGTCCTGTGCGGCCTTCCTCCGGTGTGATCCCGGCTGATGCGCGTAGAAGACACGAGGAAAGGTGTCAAGACTTGACGCCCAGAAAACTTTGGACGACACACGCACACACCCCCCGCAGCCTCGCGCTCTGTGATCATCTAGGGGAGCCAACGACAGCATCGTGTCTTGCCTTCTCTCAACAAGGTGTAGGCAGTCAGCATAACCCCATAAATCGCAGGATGCCAGAAAAAATCCAACGACGAGATGTAGTCGGAACATGGTGCCCGATTGTCAACATGTATTGTATGCGATACGTACCTGCTTGCTCTGCTGGGTCCCGCGTCGTTGTCGTCGCTAGGGGATTCCCCCGACAGCGATACGAACGCGGAGCCGGCCGTGGCGGCGGCGGCGGCGGCTCGTGCTGCCCCGTTCTTCCGTGCCCCTCCCTGCGACGCCACAACACACAGGCAAGACAAGACCCAACACGCGAGCCGAGATGGGCCGGCGGGAGGAGGAGGAGGAGGAG